GGGAGCTCTGAGCCGTCTTCAGAAATGTTGTCTATCTGATTGGTCTTTGCATATCTGAGCTCTCCAGGGGCTAACTGGTATTTGAGGGACCCTTTGCTGCCATGGGCCTGGCCTAATGGAGCTCTACCATTCCCAGGGACTCTGGGCACCCCACCATGGCATCCCCATTGCTCAAGGAGTGGGGTGCCAGGCTTGCTGGGAGGCATCCATAACTCTTCCTCCTCTTCCTCCTCTTCCTCACCCGGCAGGCCAAGGCAAGGCACAACATCACTCTGCTGTGGGACAGGGAGGTCATGGACGTGCTGGCCGATGGCTACAACCTGCACTACGGCGCCCGCTCCATCAAACACGAGGTGAAGACAAGGGGGCACTTGGGGTGAACTCCACAGTGTCACATCCAGCCCCACTGCCCAGGGGGAGCCAGGAGGGTTGGAAAGACATCAAAAGAGACTGGGATCTCCTGGAGCAAGTCCAGAGGATGTCATGGAGACACTCCTTGGGCTGGAGCTCCTCTGCTCTGGAGCCAGGCTGGGAGAGCTGGGGGTGTTCACCTGGAGAAGAGAAGGCTCCAGGGAGACCTGAGAGCCCTTTCCAGGGCCTAAAGGGGCTCCAGGAGAGCTGGAGAGGGACTTGGGACAAGGGCCTGGAGGGCAGGACAAAGGGGAATGGCTTCAAACTGACAGTAGATTTAGATTGAGTATTGAGAAAGAATTGCTGGCTGGGAGAGTGGTGAGGCCCTGGCACAGATTGCCCAGAGAAGCTGTGACTGCCCCTGGATCCCTGGAAGTGTCCAAGGCCAGGTTGGATGGGGCTTGGAGCAACCTGTTCTAGTGGAAGGTGTCCCTGCCCAGGACAGTGGTGGGGTGAAATGGGATGAGCTTTAAAAAGTCCTTTCCAATCCAAACCATTCCATGATTCCATGACTGTGTGGATCTCCTCCTCCTCATATCAGGGGAGATGTCTGTGGTCTCAGGGAGGAAGCAGCACAGCCACACTCCAGAGACAGGGAATAAGTGGGATGGAGGAGGAGGTTCCATGATCCTGCACTGCCCAAGGGTGGGATGGAGCTGCCTGGCTCTGTGAGAGGCTTCCCACAGGGTTTTCCTATCGGGATATGGTCTGTCCCTCAGGTGGAGCGTCGCGTGGTGAACCAGCTGGCAGCCGCCTACGAGCAGGACTTGCTGCCACACGGCTGCACTCTCAGGATCACTGTGGAGGACTCAGACAAGCAGCTGCTGAAAACCACAGATAGCACAGAAAAATCCAAGGTGCCAACCCTGAGGCTGGAGATCGTGGAGGACAGCAAGGCCCGAAAACTGGAAATCCAGGCACCGCTGAACCCCGAAAACATTACTTACTTCTTGTAGGCAGCACTGGGCATTCCCGGCAGCAATAAAATACCCCAAGAGTCGGAGTGAACGGTGTCGGAAAGTGCAGAGCCACAGTCCTGCCACCATCAGGCACAGACACGGACATGGACACGGGCACAGCACGGGCACAGACACAGACACGGGCAGGAGCTGCCTTGGGGTGGGCACCAAGGGCTCTGGGGGTGCAGTTGTGGGTGATAAGGTGCCCTGGTGCCATTAAGGGATGGGTCGGTGGAGGGTCCTAAGGTGTCACAGGGTGTTGGAGCTTTTTAAGGAAAGGGGAAGCAATTGTGGACCATGCAGGAGCCAGGACAGATTTGTCATTCTCATGGGAGGGGGCTCACTGGGATAGCTGGGCTGGCAAGGTGGGCACAGAGACCAAGTGTGAGTTGTAAAAGCCACCAGGCTCCTGCTCTGTATTGTCCCCATTTCTCTTTATTTATGGCAATAAACATGCCATGCACATCTGACCCTCTGTGTGCCCAGAAAGAGAGGCCGTGGGGATCATCCATCTCTATCCCAGGGGACTCCTGTGTCTCCTGCTCATCACCAGAAGCCAGGAACATCACTGGGAGCCAGGAACACCACTGGGAGCTGGGACCATCACTGTCACGTCTCCCCACTCCAGCCAGGTGACGTCCTGGTGCAAAACACTTGCTGAATCTTTTTCTCCTGACCTTCTCCCAGGAAATATTTAATATCTTGGGTGTAACTGAGCTGTCCAGACACAGAGCCCCCCCATGCTGGCTCCTCCAGGGACTACTTGTGGTGGGATAAGGGATATGGTTACCACCAGAGCTACCCCAGCCATGTATTTTGAGGAGTAGAACACGAAATACAGAAATCAACCCCCCCCCAGGATTACTGAGCCCCAAATCACTATCCCTTGGTATGGGAACAGGGATGGATTGGAGGTGGCAGCGAGTTGCCAGGGTCCCCATCGCACCATGACCCCCTGCCCCTGTGTTCCCATGGGGGCTTGGGTTTGGTGCTGGTTCTCATTTTCCAGGGATACAAAGAGGTTTGGTGGGGACTGCTATGAGCCCCCTTCCCATCCCAGAAGCCTTTTCCTGGCTTAATCCTGGGGACTGGAGCAGGATCCCATCCCTGGAGGATTTGGGAGCATCGCCAAGCTCTGCTGGAGCCTCCCAAAGTCAGAACTAACTCCCACAGGTGCACGTGGGTGTGCACTCAGGTGTGCCTGTGTGCGCATGGGAGCACACGGGAGGGCACCGGTGCGTGTGTGTGTGCACTAACATTGCCCGTGTGCAGGGGTGCTCCCTGGGGCCTGCTCTGAGGTGTGGGGGTGTGCACAGGTGTGTGTGCACAGGTGTGCGCAGGCCCATGGGTGGGAGGCGGGGCCACGTGGGCCCTCCCTGACCCTTTGGTTTTCTTGGTGCCAGTGCATGTGAATGGGCTCCCACCACCAGGAGCAGTGCCTGGGAGCACAGGATTTGGAGGGAGAACCACGGGGCTGTGCCAAGGATGTTCAGTTCCCAGCACCCCAGCTCTGTGCTGGCCCTTGTTCGGTCAGGGCGGTGGGTGCTGCCAGCATGGGGGCTCGGGGCACCCCAGAGCATGCTGTCTTTATCCCCAGGAACAACGTGGCAGCACTGCTGGGAGCAGCCATGGAGCTGGGGGACCCACAGGGACCCCCCAGCACTTAACCTGGGGGACTCCACGGGTTGGTGAAGGCTGAGGGTTCTGGGAGAGATGGGGGTGACAGGGTGGATGCTACCACCCCACCCAAGCTGGGGCTAGAGCCTGGGGGACCTGGGGTGTGAACATAGGGGATCCTGTGGTAGAGTCCCATCAGAGGGGATCCCATCAGCATGGAACCTGTTGGAGGGATCCCAGAGGAAGGAATATCCCCATTGGAGAGGTCCCTTTGCAGCGGTCCTATCAGAGGGGATCCCACTGGAGAGAGTCCCATTGCCCCCCACACACAACTCCACAAGGACCCCAACAAGTCCTGGGCACACAGACAGCCCCAAGCCCACAGGCAGCCCCTTAGTGCCTGATGAGATGGAGGGACATGAGTCTCTCCCATCTCCCCCAGTGTGCCCAGCCATCCCCACTGCCAGTACCACCCATTTGTGAACAGGGGGTGTCAGCTTCCACCCCCTCCCCACTCGGCAACGCTGGGGACAGCACCCATTTCCCTTCATCCACCGAACTCCGGAGGGATCACCCACATCCACACCCCACGGGAGCCGCGGGGATGCAGAGCAACTCCCTGGCCCTACCCTCCAGCTGCGCCCTATCCTACTCCCCTTCATGTCCCCCTCCCTCTGCTCTCCTTCTTCATCTCCCTCCTCCTCCTCGCCCCCCCCCGCCTCCCCCCAGCTGCCCCCGGCTCTGGGTAGCACCAGCAGCTCCTTGCGTGGCAGATTGCTGCCTAATTAGTTTAGAGGGAAAACTTAATTGAATTAACTTTTCACAGCTCCAGCAGCCCGACAGTGGGGCCTCGCTCCGCGCCAGCCCCGCGCCCTGATCGAATTAACTTGTTTAGCAACCTGCCCGCTCGGCCGCGCAGCTGGGGTGGGCGCGGGGGGGCACCGGCAGCACCCACCGGGGGCCCGGGCGAGGGAGTGGAGACAGAGTTGACCCAGCCAGGGGCAGTGGGAGCTGTTCCCAGGGAAGAAAGTCCAGGAGGGAGCAGGACCCTATGGATACAGGGCAGGACAGGTTCACAGGTCCACAGGACCCAGTCAGGGTCCATTCTCCTTCCTCCCTCCTGGGGGGCCCAAAGCCCCTCGCTGGGCGCAATTAGACTTTTAAATCCTCTTTAGTGAGAGTGTTTGTCTTGAAAATGTCCCAAATCCTGCCAAATCCTCCCCAAATCCCCTCACATTCCCCCGCCCCTGTGCCCCCCTCTGGTGCCGCTGAAAGGGGCAAAGCCTTTGCCTTGGCCCCTGCGCGGGAGGTGGGCGGGATGGGGTGCTTTGAAATTCATCCAGCTTGAAAATTGGGGATGAGGGTATCAAAGGCCAGAGTCCCCCCAAGGAGAGGGGCCTGGGACTGAGCACCCCTCCGGAGTCCCCTACTCCCCCCGTGCACCCAGGGACGGCGGAGTGCACCCGGGGTGGGGGAGCTGGCGCTGCTCCTCCTGGGATGCTCAGCCCCAGAGGCATGGGATGGGACGGGACGGGATAGGGATGGGATGACATGGACACAGGAATGGAGAGGGGATGAGATACAGATGGGATGGGATGGGATAGGATGGGATGGGGACAGAGAAGATACAGAAGAATGGGGACACCGGGGGACCGTCCCGGCTCTGGTCCCGGAGGGGCCCCGCCGAGTGCTGCTCCGGGGGGTGCTGAGGGGCCGCTTCTCCAGCCCACCCCGAAGTGGCGGCTGCCAGAGTCGGCTCGAGGAGGGGGGTGCGGGCGCCCACGAAGGGTTAAGGGGGGCGGGGGGCTGCGGGGAGGGGGTGACGGCTCCGCCCGCCCCGCTGTCCCCAGGAGATATTGTCATGCAAAAGCCCCCTGCGAGCGCAGCCTTTGTCCGCGCTCCCCGCCAGTATATTAACGGGCCGGGGCGGCGGCGGCGGGGGCGGGCGGGGGCCCGGCGGGCAGGAGGCGGCAGGGACGGGCGGGCGGCAGCCGGGGCCGCACCGGGCTCGCCATGGACTACTCCTACCTCAACTCCTACGAGTCCTGCGTGGCCGCCATGGAGGCGAGCTACGAGTTCAGCCCCTGCAGCCAGGCGAGCTCCTTCCAGTACAGCCCTATGCGGGGGGGCTTCGGGCCCGCGCCCGCCTGCGCCCCCCTCGCCTCCGCCAGCTGCGCCCTGGGCGCCCTCCGCGACCACCAGCCCTCGCCCTACTCGGCAGGTAACGGAGCGGGACCCCCCGAGCCACCAGGGACATCCCCCGAGCAGCCCCTGGACGGGCGCAAGGAAGCGGCCGCGCCGTCGGGGCTGGTGGGGGACTGGGGCCGGCAGTTGCCTGTGATGTCTGGGCTCGGTGCCATCGGTTCCAAGAGCCGTCGGTATCCTGTGCCGTCGGTGCTCGATGCCGTCGGCGCGCGGTATCGTCAGGACTCGATGCCGCCAGAGCCCGATACTGGCGGTCCCCGGGAGCCGCCGGTGCCCTGCACTGTCAGGACTCGATGCCGCCGGTGCCCATTACTGCCTGTTCCCGGTACCTCAGGTGCCCGATCCCATCAATTCCTAGTGCCGTCGTTGCCCTGTCAGTGCTCGGTGCTGTCGGTGCCCGTTACCATCGGTTCCCGGCGCCGATAGTGCCCGTTACTGCCGATTCCCGGTGCCACTGGAGCTCGGCACTGTCAGGACTCGCAGCCATCGGTTCCTGGTACCGTTGGCGACCGACACGGTCTGTTCCCGGTGCCCTCCGTGCCCGACACCGTCAGTGCTTCATGCCGCCGTTTCCCGGTACTGTGCCCGGTACTGTCGGCCCTCGGTGTCGTCAGCGCAAGCTGCCACCAGTGCCCGGTTGCTGTTCGTTTTCGGTGCCGCCGGTGCTCGGTACTGTCAGGGGTCGATGCCGTCGGTAACCACTGCTGTCGGTGCTTGGTGCTGTCGAGTCCCGGTGACATCGATTCCCGGTGCTATCGATTCCTGGTACTGCCGATGCTGCGTCCCGCGGTTCTCGGTGCCGCCGGTGCCCGCAGCCCTGGCTGACTTCGGCTCGGTCCCGCCGTCCCCGGTCTCGGTTTCCCCGCTCTCGTCTGCCGGTGGGGACGGGACCCCCGAGCACGGCCGCGGATCCCCCGGGGTTCCCGGCGCAGTGGCGGTCCCAGAACGGAGCTGGGGAAGATCCCCATCGCCGGGACCCTCTTCCCCGCTCCGCATTCGTTGCCGCCGCGGAGGCGCTGCCTGGGGATGCGCCGACAACGAAGGAGCTGCCGACCGGTACCGGCAGCCCCACCTGCACCGGTGCCGCATCGCCCCCCTATCCCCGCTCCCTCCCTGAGGCCCCGCATCCTGCCGGCAACGAAGGAACGGGGCAGAGGCGCGGCGGGGACAGCCACCCAGCCCTGCCCTCGTCTTTCTCGCCCTGCCCGCGGGATCCTGCCCGGTCCGTTCCTAAACGATTTATCCTGCCCGGATCATCGTGCCCACTCCATCCTTGCCGGTGCACACCTTCCCAGTTCACCCCTGCCCAGTTCATCCTTCCAGGTCCATCCCTCTCATCTATCCCTGGCTGGTATTCCCTGCCCGGTCCATTCCTGCATATTCATCTCTTCCCGGTCCATTTTTTCGCGGTTCATTCCTTCTCGGCCCATCTCTGCCCCGTTCATGCTGCCCAGTGTGTCTCTGCCCGGTCCGTTCCTGCTCGGTCCGCTCCTTATCCGTCCATTCCTTCCCGGTTCATCATTTCACAATTCACCCCATCCCGGTCCATCCCTGCCCGGTGCATCCCTTCCCAGTTCACCCCTGCTCAGTGTATCCTTCCCAGTTCATCTGTCTCTGGCCAATGTCCCCTACCCGATCCATCCCTTCCCGGTCCATCCTTTTCTGGTTCATCCCTGCCCCGTTCATCCTGCCCAGCTTGTCCCTTCCTGGTCCATTCCTGCCTGGCAGTCCCTGCCCCGTGCTCCCCAGTGCCCACTGATGCCTTCCTGCTGTACTGGCCCCACTGACGCCTCGTTTCCCTCCCAGTTCCCTACAAATTCTTTTCGGACCCTTCGGGGATCAACGAGAAGCGGAAGCAGCGGCGTATCCGGACGACTTTCACCAGCTCCCAGCTGAAGGAGCTGGAGAGGGTCTTTGCCGAGACCCACTACCCTGACATCTACACCCGCGAGGAGCTGGCCCTCAAGATCGACCTCACGGAGGCCCGGGTGCAGGTCAGCGCGGGAAGGGGGGGATGGGGATGGGGGGCTGGGGATGGAGAAAGGGGGGGCTCTAATCCCACCAGAGTGGGAACCCTGACAGTGGGATGCTACCGCTGTGCTCCCTGTGTTGGGATGGAGGGCAGGAGGGGGACTCGGCCTCGGCACCCCCACAGTTGGGGATACACTGCGGGGCACCGCCCTGCTCTGATGGGGACTTCAGGGGTACCCCCTGGTGCTCAACCTGACTCCCAGCAGAGTAGGGACATTGGTTCATGCCATGGCACTGTCACTGCCACCGATTATTTAGTCCAATCTGAAACACCTGGAGGTTGGTGAGAGTCCAGGGAGGACAGAGAGTGGCACCTTTGTGGTGGTGGGGTGCAGACGCCCCCCCCTCCCCGCCCCTTTTTTTGTGTGCAGAAGCTGCCTGTGTCAGCACAGATTTCTCTTGGTGGGTGCAGATCCTCTTTGTCAGTGCAGACGCCCCTGTGTGATCACAGAACCTCCTTTGTGGGTGCAGACCCCCCTTTGTCAGAACACCTGTCTTCATAGGGATGTAGAGACCCACAGGCCTGGGGGGTCCCGGCCCCAGGGATGGGGCTGCGGGGGGAATGGTGTGTGGAGCCAACCCCACCATCGGCACCATGGGCAGCTGGAGAGGTGCCCGCTGTGGGGATGGGCTCTGACCCTGCGAGGTGCAGGTGTGGGTGCAGCAGGGGCCCTGATAATGCCCCCTCACCGTTTCTCTTCCCCACCGTCGCCCATGTGAGTGCCCGGCATCGACCTCACAGATCCACATTGTTGTGGATATGCGGATCCCTCTGGTGCTGCAGAAAACATTCTCCCCCTCGTGGGAATGGGGGGCTGTGAGGGGAACCTCAAGGCCTGAGGGGAGCTGCCTGCACCCACAGGCTCCCCAAACCCCCAGGGATGGTGGTGTGGGGTGCTCCCAATCCCCTCCATCCCCCCCAGGTGTGGTTCCAGAACCGTCGAGCCAAATTCCGCAAGCAAGAGCGTGCGGCCAATGCCAAGGGTGCCAGCGGCACCGGCACCACTGGGAAGAAGTCGGAGCCGCGCTCTTCCTCGGAAGATGACGAATCCAAGGAATCCAACTGCAGCCCGACGCCGGACAGCACGGCGTCCCTGCCTGCCGCTGCCATTGGCAGCCCCGGCGGCAGCCTGAGCCCCAGCCCTGGCGCGGGGGCACCCATGGGACCCGGCCATGCCCCCCAGCCCCTCAAGGCGCCCCTCTGGGCAGGGGTGGGAGGTGGCAGCGGTGCCCCCAACGCGGCCGAGCTGCTGAAAGCCTGGCAGCCCACTGAGGCTGTGCCGGGACCCTTCTCTGGTGTCCTCTCCTCCTTCCATCGGAAACCCAACGGCATCAAAACAAACCTCTTCTGATCACTGAGTCACCGGATCCGGCTGCCCCAAAATCCCCCCTAGCCCCCATCCTGCACACCCCACCCACTGCCCCCACCACGGACCCAGCCACGATGCTTCAGGAAACGGGGAGATGGAGCAGGGACCGCCCCCCGCCATCTCCTCGGACCCTGCGCCAGCGGGATGGACCCGGAGCTGGGGCAGCTCCCACCGGCACCCATGCAGGTGCTGCGGGACCATGGGGTGCAAGGCGGGGGCAGCACCGCCGTGCTCAGCCGGCATGCCCCTGGCACAGCCTTCGCTTCTGGGGGCTCCCGGTGCACTCCAGGGTTGGGGGCAGGTGCAGGGCTCCCCACAGCACTGCAGGTGCTCCAGGATCTTGGTACCTGCCCCAGGAGAACGCCCTCCAATGGGCTTGGCCGCTGGGCTGGGGGTGAGGAAGCACTTTATAGGGCGGGGTCTGGGGGCCACGGGGTGGGCGTTGCTGGGCAGTGCGGCAGGGAGAAGCTCCTTGGTGTGGGGAGAGGATGCCCCCCAAATTCTGCCTGATGACATGGATGCCCCCTAGCAGCACCCTGACGCGGTGGGACTGGAGGTGAGAAACACCCCCCCTCTCCCCCCAAGATTTTGGGGAGTAAAAGCAGGGCTGGGGGGTTCAGCACTCGCCAGCATTGCCGTGGGTGCTGCACACGGGGGCGGGGCGCCAGAAAGGCTGAGGGTGAGGTAGCCCCCCCGAGAGGGGGCTGGCGAGAGATGGAACCCCTAGAGCAGCCAGTGGGACCCCTCGGGAGAGCACGGACCCTTCTGAACATCCTGTGGGATCCCTTAGCTGAGCCGGGACCCCCCAGAGCAACCAGTGGGAGTGCTGGGAGCAGCTGGTGGGATGCCTCAGAGAAGCCAGGACCCCTCACCAGCAGCAGGATGGGTGCTCCCACTGGAGCTGGCACAGGTGCAGTCAGGACGCTCCAGTACAAAGGGTCCCCAGCAAGGGGCTGGGGTGCTGGTGGGCCCCCTTGCACCCAGCCCCCCCCTACACTGGTGCTGCTGTGCCAGTTGGCTTCGTGGCATGGTGAGCATGCTGGTAGCCCACCCATGTGTCCTTGTCCACCCCCTATCTCCCCACTCTCCCCGAGGTGAGGTCCCCTTTTCTTTCGTTTTTTATTAACCATTCTGTAATTTATTGCCCATGTTTGCAAATGCCACCAATCCAAATAAAACTTAATTTATTGATGATGCTGCTGGCCCCCAGCCCTCACTGCACCCCCCACAAGGGCTGCAGGGCTGAGGGGCTGCATGGCCCCCACCCCTGAGCTATCCAAAACCCACCATAGCACCCTAGGTGATACCACAGACCCCCAGCACTTTAGGGGTTATTTTGGGTGCCCCCCACCCAAAGACCTCAAGGAGATGTAGGGAGTTGGGGGAGCACCCTATGGGAAGCCCCTGAAGTGGGGTGAGGAGTGGGGTGCTCCACACAGCCCCTCTGGCCTCTTGGGGCCCTTTAGGGGTGGTGATGGGGAAGGTCCTAGGGGCACTGGGATGGTGACAAGGAGCACACCAAGGGTGTTGGGCGGGCAGTCTGGGGTACCCAAGGTGGGCAAGAAGGAGAGAAGGTACCTGGTCCCCACCTTGTGGGGACCAGTGAAGCCACTCTGGAAGGTCCCCATTATCCTGGGACTGGTATGGCCAGCCTGGAGCATCCCTGACTGTGCTGGGACCAGTACAACCAGCTCAGGGGGTCCCAGATCACACTGGGCCCTGGTTCCTCAATCCTGCCCCCTCCCCAGACCCTCCCAGACTCACCCTTGCCATGCTGAGAGGTCCACCACACCCATTGCATGAAACATAACAAAAATCACTCCAGATTTACCAAAAACCACCAAACACAGGGCACGACGAGACAGGGATTTAGTGGGGGGGAAGTTCAAACCAAACACCCCAGTAACAGGGGATCTGGGGGGCTGCTGGGGGGCCTGGCCCATCCTTCATCTCAGCCGGAGTGAGGGGACAGGGGTGATGGGGGTGGTATTGCCCCCCACACCCTTAAGGGACAGGGAGAGTCTGGAGGGGTCATCCCAGCAGGGAAGGCATGGCTGGGGGACCCCTGGCCTGGAGACCCCCCTGGAAAGGCACTTGGTGAGGTTGGGGACTGAGCACCCACAGGGGACCCGGGTGCCAGCCCCACTGCCCCTGAGGGCAACAGAGACCTCCGGGGCAGGGACAGACCCAGCAAGTACCTAATGGGCAAAGTGGGAGCGGGGGTACACCCCGGAGGCACTGGTGGTGTGAGGTGGGGTCTGGGTGAAGGCACTGATCTGACTCAGCTGCAGTGGGATTCCCAGGGTAGAACTCCCAGGGCAGGGACAGGGACCTCCATAGTGGGGATGGGACTCCCAAGGATGGGGACAGGCACCCCTGGGGTGGGGACAGAAACCTCCAGGGATGGGGACGGCACACCTGGAGTGAGGATGGGGATCTCCCAGGGTGGGGAGAGGGACTCCCAGGGAGGGGACGGGACACCCCCAGCATGGGGACATGGATCCCTGGGGTGGGGACAGGGACCCTCCAAGCAGAGACAGAAACCTCCAAGGTTTCTGTCCACAGGTGGGACTCCCATGTTGGGGACAGGGCCCCTCAGGGTGGGAATGGGTGCCCTCAGGTGGGGAGACACGCGTGGGGACAGGGACCCTCTGAGTGGGGATGGGACTTTCAGGGTGGGGATAGGACCTCTGGGGTGCGGATGGAGACCCTGAGCTTTGCCCAGTGTTGTCCGTGGGGGCTGGCCAAGCCCTCCCATCCCATCTCAGAGCTGGCTGGGCATCATGAAGGCACTTGGGTTGAGACACGACTTTGCTCAGCGCCTCCTCCTAGCTGTGAGGAGCCGTGGGGGGAGCCAGGGCCCCCAGGGTTCCCCCCAAACAGCCCTTCCCCCAATAAATAAGAAATAACTTATATGTGAGGATGCCCCATAGGGACCCTCCTGTGAAATTATCTGACCAGAACCCACCACCCACCCTGTCCCCCTCTCCCCACCCCATTACCCAGCACCCGAGATGGGGGGCAGGCCGTGGGGTTCCCAGGGCTCCCACTAGCTGCTGGTGATGGTGGGATGCATGGATGCAGGATGCGTGACCATGGGATGAGGGATCCTCAGCTGCAGGATGCAGGATGCTCAGATGCAAGATCTGGGATGCATGGCCATGGGATCCGGGATGCATGGTCGCAGGATCTGGGATGCTCAGCCACAGGATCCAGGATGCATTACGCACACCCACGGGATCTGGGATGCGTGGCTGCGGGACGCAGGATGCTGGACCATGGGACATGCGACTGCAAGATCTGGGATGTATGGCTGCAGGATTTGGTTGCTGCAGGATTTTGGGTGCTGGGCTGCAGGATGCAGGCTGTGCAGCCACAGGATGCAGGATGCTGGGCTGTGGGATGCACGGGACGCCAGGTGTGTGGTGGCAGCTACTTGCGGAGCTGGAGGCTCTCCAGGAGGACACGCTTGTGGCCAGGCTCCAGCACTCCAGCCTCCTCCAGGTCCTCCTCCGTGATGTCACTGGGGTGGGGGTGCAGACATGGAGCTCTCTGCCCCCAGGCTTACCACAGCCTCGTGAGGAGGGCACCCCGCCTGGGTGAGGTCCCCATTAGGGGATGCGAGAGCCCCCACTTGGGCTGCTGGGTGCCCACTCAGCCTCCTTCCTGTCCCTGCTGTGGGGCTACATGGCCCTGCGGAGGGCAGTGGGGATCCCTTGGGGTAGCTGGGACACTCAGGGGCAGGAGGGACACCCAGGGGCAGCAGGGATCCTCAGGACTGGTGGAGATCCCCCAGAGCAGCACAGAACCTCTGAGGGCTGTGGGGTCCTCCAGGGCAGCAAGGGGAAACAGGGGAAACAGAAACCCAGGGGAAGCAGAGAGCCTCAGGGGTCAGTGGGGACCCCCCAGGGGCAGTGGGGACCACCAAGAGCAGTGCCCCCATGGATCTCCCCAGAACAGGGTCACCCCTCCCAGGCATTGTTGTGACCCTCTGGGGAGGACATGGACCCCCTGGGGATGGCAAGTCCTGAGGTGGGGTGTGAGCAGTTTCGGGGAGCAGCTCACCTGAGGAACTCCAGGTCATCCCAGCCATTGCGCACCAGCCCCTCCTCGTACCGCTCCAGCCCCAGCGCCCGCAGCCACTCGCCCACACCAGGCACGGTGCCCACGCCACGGCCCAGCACCTGCACCCAACACCCTCAGCACCACAGGGTCTCCCAGAGAGCCCCAGCTGAGCACGCTGGGGGGCCCAGCATCCTGACCCCCACCCACCCTGCATCACCCACCTCCTCAGCCAGGTCCTCCTGGATGCTCTCCCGGATGGAGTGAGGTGGGAAGGCGAGAGGGCGGCCATAGTCGGGGGGTAGGCAGCGGGGGGGCAGCCCCCCTTTGGCCAGCAGTGGTGGGGGTGGGGCCACCCTCCCCTTCCCACCCCCGTAGTCCACTTCACTCAGCGTCTTGGCCATCTGCAGCACGGAGCAGGACCGGTCATCCAGCAGCCCCCCAGCACTGGGCAGCCCTCCAGTAGTGGGTAGCCCCCCAACTGCAGGCAGCCCGCCGATAACGGGGGTCCCACAAGCCCCCTCCATCCCAAATCCAGCCCCAGGAGCTGGGGGTGGCCGGGGGTGCAGCTTGGGCAGGGGAGCCTCTCCAAAGGCAGTGGGGTGGGATTTGGGGTCCTCACGCGTGGTGGACACTGGCAGCTCCTTGGGGGTGCCAAAGAAGGGGTTTGTGGGGAGCTCCAGCTCCCGTGGTAGTGGCGGCGGGGGGAAATCTGGTGGCGGCAGGTTGAGGGTGCCGAGATCCTCCTCATCGTCACTCTCATCACCGTGGCACACCGAAGGGTGCCGGCGGCGTTCTGGCACTGCCAGCTGCACTTTGGCCTTGGGGGGCTTGCCAGGGTCCCCTGGTGCCAGCAGCTGGTGGGGGACCCCTTCCAGGACGTAGTATGCGGGATTGTTGAAGCTGTTCTTCAGAGGAGC